CTGTCATTGGGAGCAGTAATTAACAAGGTCCTTAAATCCTTAGGAAAACAATCTTCATGAGATGCACTGCTCACCAAGCAACTTTAATGAAATACAGCTGTCACTTCAAACCTTTCAAGTTCAGCATTTTCAGGCAGGGAACCAATAATGGATGATACAGCCTTTTTTATTTACCCGTAAGCACCATCAGGCCAGGAAGGACTTTGCCAGGACTCAGCACTGGGTGCAATTAGGTTTACCTGTCTTTTTTTTTTTTTCCCGTGCTATTTCTTTTTTTAAAAAATACATATTTTTCCTTTCAGTGAAGTAAAAATGACTTACGATGACTCACTGATTTGAGTTCTTTTGATTTTGTTAAATCTCAGAGGTCTTTGTTTTACTGATCAATTTAGATGTCTACCAAGAAGAGTAGTCTTTTTCATTTACTTAGTGTTTGTATTAATGGTAAGTGGAAGGAGAATTATTCTGGTTGTTCTCTTTGGTATTTTTCAAGTAAGAGGCTTACTGTTCAGTGGTGAGCTTCCTGGGAGCAGTAGGAGGACTCATCTCAGTGCCCAGGTGCCAGAACAGGTCTCCATGGTGCAGCTAGTCTCCTTCTGAGGGCTGGGGCTGTGCTGTGCCTGGCTGAGGCCACGTTGGTCTCCTGTGCTGCCTCCCAGTGCTGTGTCATGAGAGCAGCAAGGGGGTGGGTGCTGTGGGATGACACCAAGAGCCCCCATCCCCACTGACTTCACTACATGTTCTCCATCTCTTTCAGTCTCTTTTTTTTCTTCTCTTGGGCTGAGCAACCACCAAACACATGATATTCAATATGAGAAAGTGCTGGAATCTGTACCTGCGATGATGCAACGCCGGATGTATATACAGAGTGAGGATGAGAAGCTTGTGAGCAATGCCACAGAAAGGGATTTGGAGGTTCTGGTTGACAAGAAGTTAAATGAGAGCTGTGTGCTCTGGCAACCCAAAGGGCCACCTGTACTCTGGGGTGCATCAGGCCCATCACTGTCAGTGGGTGAGGAAAGGGGCTGTGCCACTCTGCTCTGCGCTGTGCGGCCTCACCTCCAGCACTGTGTGTGGGTTTGGGTGCCACACTACGAGAAGAGCATAAAACTATTAGAGAGTGTTCAAAGGAGGGCCTGGATAACAAAATGTGAGAAAGCTGAGAGGAGGCCTCAGGCAGCCTACAGCTCCTCATGGGGAGTGGAGGGGCAGCGCTGAGCTTTGCTCTCTGCTGACAGAACTGGGCCCAAGGGAATGGCTTGGAGCTGTGACAGGGGTACAGCTGTACCCTTGGAGTGGGGGTTAGGAAAAGGTTCTTCACCACAGGGCAGTGGGCATGGAACAGGCTGCCCAGGACAGTGGTCACAGCCCCTAGCTTGTAGCTCAAGAAGTGTTTGGACAGCACTCTCAGGCATAGGCTTTCAGTTTGAATTCTCTTGTGTGAAGCCAGGAGTTGGACTAGATAATTCTTAAGGGTCCCTTCCAACTCAAGATATACTATTATGGCTTAGTACAAAGGTGGTAGGTAGGAGAGGAGCAACGTGTAGGGCAATTCTTGGCCTAACCTTGACTTTTGGACCTCACCGGAGAAGACTCCTGGTGTAACCAAGCAGCTGAGTCACAAGGTCTGGAGATAGACTGGGGGTAATGGGGTCAATTTAAGTATCACTGAAAAAAGTCCATGTGTTTGATCCACCATGACACATGGAACTGCATTTCTGTCAATGTAATGGCAGTCCTCTACTCAAAACTCCTACTCTTGAATGAGCCTGTGCTGAAATCAGCTGTAGAGGTTAAAGAGATTGTTCTCATGAGCAAGAATTACTCTGAGTAAGACTTAGAAGGACAGAGCCCGTAGGGTGAAAAATGTTGCTTGTCCCAGTAAGCTCAAATCTTAAGGCTGTCAAGAGAAATGAATTCAAGATGCTGACAGAGAAGGGAAGATCAAGAGCAAATTCTATGCACATTAAAAATAGCTGAATATGAAGGGACAGAGCATGCCTCTTAGGCACTGGGCTAAATTGGAAATGGGTAGGAAGTCACATGGTTTCAAATGTGTTACGTATTTGTACTCGTGACCAAATTACTCTCACCTCTTTATCTTTCTCTCCTCTCCAGCTCCTGCCCCTCCAGCAACTTATTATTAGTTTGTATTTGTATGTCTCTGGGTGCTCCCCAGTCTGTTGCATTTAGTGATTTTTATAGGCAACAGGCGCTGCTAAGAGAGGAAAAGCAGTAGTCCTCCTAGCTTTGGTAAATCTCACCCAACCCTGCTCTGTACTGGCTGCCATGCTCAGCTCTGACCATCTTAGGCGCTGGTATTGCTGTACGCCTCTTCATTTGAGGAAACTGGACACCTGTCTTTTCCTCCGGCTTACATGACACAGTTTTTGGACATATGACCTCTCTGTCCCATTCATGGCAATGGGATCTTGCTGTCTGCATCACCATCAAGCTTCGCCAGAAATTTGAAGCACCCAATTTTTCAAAGCTCCACCTCTACATACTCTTATGTTTATAATTAACATTTTATGAGACATGAGAAGTGTATAATTAGTGTTCTTTTAGAGGATCCAAAACCTAATCTATTTTTTTCCCTGTATCTAGTAAAGGAAATACAACCAATCAGATAAAACTTTTGTGGATCCATTGCTTCCCCCTCAGTTGAGCACTCTCTAAAAGTAGATTGGAATCGAAGAAACAGCTCAGTCTTAATTCTTCACTTCCGATCCATCACATTGGTGCATCACACTTTCTTCCATGGAGAGCTGTTTTGTCCTTGCAGGTTGTGTTCATGAAAAGGAGCCCTCAGCCGCAAAAGCACAACTTGCCTTCCTCTTTCTTGTTTCTCTCTCTGAGCTTTTAAAGCACTGTGCTTCTTAAAACCTAATGTTAACTTTGCTTCTAGTGCTTATCTGCCCTTTGGATCTCCCATTCCTGCAGAACAGTTTAAGAACACTGATTTGAGGTACAGTGTTGTCATACACAGCATGGAGTTGCTCTGTTTGAATAGGAGTCACTGCAGTGGAAAGACTTTCTCTGGTGTAAGAGATTTGTAATGGTAGATGTGGCTCTATTGGAAATCAGTGCTAGGCATCGTTTCTGCAATTCACAGCAACTCCTAAAACTGAATAATAGAGATGATCCTTGAATCCTGCTATCAGCAAGCCACAGTTTTGGGACCTGAGGCAGAGGAGAAGTTGAATGACTGCCTTAATATCTGGCAGGAAGTCAGTGGCATATTTTTTGCTTACTGGAGTTTTAAAGTTCTCTGCAAAGCAGACATTAAGCATACTGAAGTCTGTATTTGCTAATAGTAGAAAAGATTAGCGACTCAAAATAAATCTTTTGATTCTTCAGGAATCGTGTTGTCAGCTAGTTTATTCCTTAATATTTGTATGTTACGGGCAGCTTTTCCAGGTGTGTGAACCTTAGCTGACTCCAAGCTAGGAGCTGTTGCCTTTTTTGCCTGCAAGACTGACCACAGCAGGGGTGTGCACTTTATGTTTTTATCCAACTTTGTCTCCTGCAGGAGCATCGTGAACAGTAGCTCGTCAGAGATGAAGTGCAGACTTCTTTTTCACTAACGTACAGCCCTTCAGAATATCCTTTTACAGCCCTTTCAGCCTTTCCAAGTTTGAGCTGTTTTTTCTGTTAGCCTGGAGTAAATGCATACTTACTTTTATTACTAGATCAGCCTTGCCTCTCAACACGGGTGCTCTGGAAAGTGTAAAGTCTCATCAAGTAGGCCATTGGCAGAGCATTTATAAACTGTGCTTTTAGCTAAGTGATGCTGGACACAGCTTGGCCTCACGCCCCCTGCCCTGACCTGTGCTGGCAACAGGATAAGGCTAAGGACTGTGAAACAGATATTTACTGTATTTTTCTGCTTGAACTGTTGTGACAGTAAATTGGTGTTTTCCAGTTTTAACACAAAGCGTTCAATAATTCATGTGTTTTACATACAGTGTTGTTCCATTAGCACCAGTCTTTGAGATAAGGAAATCCTGATGGCAAGCAGTATTCAACCGAATGCACATTTACAGATTAAAAACCAGCTGCTTCCTAAGGCTGCTATCAAGAGCCAGGGGTTTGCGTCAACAGTATTGACTCCTGAAGTCACCAATAGTAATCCTGACTTTCTGTGCTTTGTGGAAGGGCTTGTTCACTTAATTGCATTGAAAGCTGCCAAGAATCAGTAGTTTAATTATTTCGGAGCCTGACTTCTGAACAAAACTGCAGTGCATTGGTATTGTAAGGAGACACAAATTTACAAAGATTGAAAGTTTAGAGTCTTAACGTTTGAAATCAAGTATGGTTCTTTTTAATTCTATACTCAGCTTCTCTCTATAGATCTCTGTATGGGCTAAGGTGCTGCCAGCATCCAGATATGCATTTCTGCAGGAGCTTGGTATGACAGAATGCTGTTCTGCACCCTTCTTTCCCTAACTGGTGGCATTTGCAGTCATCCACAGAAAATGCTTTGTGGTGATCCTGCTTCTTACTGTGATTAAATCGGTGACTGCAGGATTCGAACTCGGGGACTGTGACTGATGGTAGTTCTGGCACAAGCAATGATCCCAGGTCCCCACACGCTGAACATAAGCTGCGCCACTTAAAGCATTTTTATTCCCAAGTGCTACAACAGCATGTTTTGCAGCAGCTTCCAAGGAAGGACGGGATTATTTCAGTGTATTCACACAGGCTGAGCGAGCCTCCAGAATGTAAACGAGCATGTTCAGAATGCGGTGTTTGGTGGCAGTGCGTGTGAGCCGCTTGCAGAGGGGTTATTTTTGTTGAGGTGAAGAGTGTGCGTGTGCTGTGCGTGTTGTGTTGTGGGAGGTATGTGCTGTGCATGGGGGCGACGTGGGGATGGAATGTCGGCCTGGGGAGAGGGAGAGGAGGGAGAGGAGGGAGGGGGTCTGGGTGCCTGTGATTGGTAAGAGCTCCACAAAGGCATCTGCTAGCAGGACTTCAGAGGAATGTGAAACCAAATCATTTACAAGTTAAAGATAGACGCAGAATACACAACATCTTGAGCCAGGGCTTAAATTCATCCCTGTCCGCCTGGCTCCTCGCAAAGCTCTGCCTGTCAGCTTTCCTCTATCTCCTCTCAAGACTCTAATATTCCTTGAAAAAGTACCATAGTTCTGGATTCTGTGGAATTACTGAGGTGGCAGAAGGGATCATGGTGCATACCATAGGGTAAGTAGGAAGCTTGCCTTTTGCCATTTGCTGCAGTGGTGTCTCTGCTTTCCTTCTGCTTTCGGAGCTCAGTTTTTGGAGCCCAGGAGTTCCTTTAAGGTAGATATCCAAGTAATGCTTTCCCTCATGATTTCTTTTGCCCTATTTTCCCAATACAGTTGTTTGAACTGTATTCCCCAACAATGGGTTAACTCACAAGGTTTCTTGTTTTGATGTACTTAGAGAGTCTTTGTCTTTAATAATCTTTTCCTTACAATTTTGAGTGCTGTTTTCCTATCAGCTGGATTTTGTTATAAACCTTTGCCCTTCTCAGAGAGATGTGCTGCCTGAAATGCTTTTTGTTACAGTTGAAAAGCTAACTGTTTTCCACAATGCAGAGAACATAATCAGTATTTGTTTGCTTGTTTGGCCAGGGATTCGCTTACCTGCTATTTCCTTTCTGTGAGTTTGATCACAACACAGCATTCATTATCTTTAAACTTTTTGTTTGTTAGCTCTCAGATAATACTTGGCTTTTGGCATTTATACTTTTTAATATTTTGGCTTTTACATTTTCTTTAAGCAAAATCAATTCTATCAATCAGTAATGAAAAAAATGTATGCATTCCCCTTTACTTAAATGGTGAGTTTGTGAGTAAGAAGAAGAATCAAACTGTCGTGTTCTTTCCACAACTTAGCAAAAGTAATTTCAGTATCCAGTGGATTCATCTCTGCATTGATCAGTGATATTTTCTGTATACTTCCCAAACATTTTGGGTGAAGTTGTGCTATTTCTGTGACCACAAGTAAATATCGGCAACTCAGTGGGAAGTTGGATGTAAAATTAGTTGCCTAGCAAGAACTCATATAGTGAGTTTCCTCAGGATTTATACTATGAGAATCACCTAAATGGCAGCACTATTTTTATCATGTATTTTGGGCACAAGTACTGCACATTTGCAACAGGGATGCTCTTAGCCTTGGTGTCGATGTCCATTCACCCAAATATATTCAGCATTCCTGACGTGTCAGTGGTGCCCACGGGAGCTGTAGGAAGTGGGTACTGCCTGCAGGTTCCTGGAACACCGAGCATTTCTGGTTCTACATACAAGCACAAAGAGACTCATGCAGTGTCGCAAAATACATGCAAGGGAATGAACTAAAATAGAAGCGTTTGAAGGAAAGATGATAGATCTGATATGTTTTATTATCTTTCTTCTGTTGGATCAAGTTGATCAACCTTTTGATCAGCTTGCTAGAATTTTGCAAAACACCTGGGTGAGCAGATCTGTTGGACTAAGGGAAACATTGGTGGTAGGCGGGCAGTTGGACTGTATGATCTTGGAGGTCTTTTCCAGCCTTGGTGATCCTATACTTCTGTGATCTGCTGTGAATTATTTTCTGTGTGGTTAAATGTAGGGGATGAAGGAGAGGGAAATGCAGAACCTTTAGTGGAACTATGGAGAGAAGAACAATTACAGGAGTGATAAATGCCAGTTAAGCCAGTTCTCTGATTGTTAACAGTAGTTGGATGTTTTCCTAACTAGCTGGGACTAGTTAAACACTTCAGTCCCATGCAAAATGTGCAGGCCAGCTGGCTCTAACATTAAGGTAATTTTTGTTTTGCTATTCAAGTGGAAGAAGTTTGAGAAAAAATACGTATGTTGGGATGAGTAAAAAATTACAGTGGGTCTTAGCAGAGCTGTGGTTGTTCTTGCTTTTGCACTGGATTCCTGTGCAGCATTAAGCAAGCTAGGTTTTCTAAGCCCCTGCAAAATGGAAGGGAGTACTCGTATTTAGATAGCAGGTCCTACAGGGAATAGGCATTGCCTCTGATATGGCTTGGTACTGTTGACTTCTGTTTTCAGATGGCATCCCCCTCCCCAGGGCTATGGCAAAAAGGGACAGGGAGGATGAGTTCACAACTTTGGAAGCAGAGCTTTACCACACCTTTCACAACCTTCCTAAACTGCGTAAGAAAAATAGACTGACGCTCAGAGGTGAGCAGAAAATAGAATTAATGTTTCATGGGAAATTCCTGAGTCAGTTCAAAATTAAATTGCATTTCCCTACCACAGTTTATTACTTTTCAGAAGCATTGGTTCAGGAGCGTGATGTTCCTTTTTCATTATCTGAGGCCCTTCTCTCCTAATTAAATGTCCAAGACGTGCTGGAGAGCTTCGTCAGAGGGAAGCCCGCTTTGTACTGTGGGAAGTGAAGCTGCTGAAAACAAACAGTTCTTGGAAGAAATGGGCATCTGAACCAGGAAGAGACATTCCCAGAATAAGAAGCTGCAATGCAATGTTGGGTTGATCAAAAAATATGTCCTGGTGTAGAACCCTTCTGAAATAACAACTTTAATTTGGGTTAGTGGTAAAATGGAAAATCCTTAATAAACCGTTGTTTGCCCATAGAAAATGTTGATACATTTGGTATATAGTTCATATACTGTAGTGTTGGTATAGTTTTCTGAGATGGAGAATCCCTGGCCAGCTTTGATTTCTGTTAGGACAAATATGATGTCACCTGTGCTTGGTGACCTAGCAGCACGAGGGTGACATAGTGTAGATGAGGCAATGAATGCAGCACGTGCCGATTCAATTGCTGCAGCATTGGAGCCTTCTGCTTTGGGGTGCTGTGTTGGTGGGGCAGTGCTGCCCTAATGCTGATGTGCTGTCCAACACCAATATGTGCCCTGAATTCCTGCTCTGAAGAGCTGCCTTCTTGGTGTTGCTTGGGAACAAATCCTGCTTTAGCATGGCTAGCAGCAGGCCTCAGCCTCCTGCCTGTTACCATCAAATTTTAAGTGTCTTTGTCATGGGAGTTCAGGCAAGTCATGCAAGCTATGAATGGGTTTGACACATTTTTTTCCTTTAATAAATTATACATTTCTTCCTTTGTGAACCTTGCTAAAAGCATTGGCAGGAATGTGCATAAGGACTTTATAATCCTTCCTTAATAGACTCTACAGTTATTGCCTGTGGCTCCCATTTCCTTTCTGTTGGGATCATTTTTTCTATTGTACGTCTTTATTTCTAGCCTCATCTTCAAAGTTTTTTCAGTGATCGTTCTGCTGAAGATTAGGAAAGAGGAGTGTTGTCTGGAATTGGTTGGTAAAAGTTTAAGGGCTTTTCCCCAAGGTTCCATGAGAAGATGCTGGCATATGTCTGAGCTCACAAGCACCTGAGAGCAGCTCTCAGTGATATAATTTCCTTTGGGTCCTAATGAATCTAGTCCTAGTGCCAGCAGCTAATTTGTTTTGGCAGAATATGGCAGGCAGTGCCTTACACAAGGCATCACACTGCAGAAAGCCTTGAGTCTGTAATTTTGTAACTGTCATAAAGAAAGAAAACGCACAAAACCAACCATTCCTAATGAAATTATGGTGTCCTATGTAGCCATGTATATAATCTCAGAGCCCAGGAGCTCTCACAGCTGCGTTTACTGGGAATTCATGCAAGTCCTGCACTCACTATTGATCCTGGCTCCCTGAGTATCAAGCAACAGAGCACTTCTTGAGCTAATTATTACTGTAATTATTTCTGTATGAAGTGACTTTACCTGGAAATACAGTGAGACTTCCCAGTAATGGGATACTTAAAATTGCATCTAATTGCGGCAGTGGTAGTTGAGAAAGCTTTTGGTACCTAACAGTCTGGAGAAATCTACCCTTCCTACCAGGGGGCTGTTACACAAAGCCGCGTTTCTGAGCCAGTTGTGTGGCCTCTTGTTGCATTTGGCTATAAAACCTGAACTGAGATATGTGCTCTGAGTAATAAAGAGGGGATGAGAAAGCGCTGGGCACAATGAATGTCTGTTTATTAATTTATTTGTGGCGTCTGCTGAACTTAGCCTTCCCTGGGGCACAGAAGGGAGCAGGAGACAGCAAGTATCTGCCCGTCATCTCTGATAAGCCAGGTGAGGGCTTGCTGCTGCCTTGTTTGCAATTGCTCTGAGATCAGGGGATGAAAAGTAGTACCTAAGTTCTTATTTCCTTTTATATCTTTTGTAAGGATAAGGTTGACTATAAAATACCTCCCTGTAAATTTCTAAGGACATTTGCACTCAGTGGAACCCCAAAAAGAAGAAAGAAAGTGAAAAAGGAATGAGACACACAGAAGTCTGTGAGCAAGTAGGCATTAAAAACAATTTATTGACAACCAGTGCCTAGTTCTTTCAAGCGTAATTAAAGTAAGCACAGCTAAAACACAGAAAAGTACATTTGCAGCAACTTGTCCTTGAGTGCTCATTACCAAATAACAGCTGCAGATAGCATTAATCTTTCCCTTTTCCAATACATTTTCAAAATACATCTTTTAACAAGAGTAGTTTTTGTTTGTGAATGTGGACAAGTACATGGTTCTTAGCAAAAGAATTAAAAATATTTTATTTTTGATTATTTTCTTATTAATATTTTTTATTTAGCATGGGTGGGACTATCTCCTTTCTTTAGCTTTGGCTTCAAAGGTTGTTGAATGTATACGCATAAAACATTCATTTTGACTGCAATATCTGGTGTGTGGAATTTCATATCAAGCACAGAGTTAGGAAAGCAACTGGAAATAAGAAGTTGGCGGTGACTTGGACTAAACTTTGTGTTGTTTCATATGCACCCACTTGGAAACAGTGTATTCCCTCTGAAGAGAGCATAAAGCAGATTGGCTTTGTGCCCCTAAGCCAGCAAGGTGGTGGTGGCTTGATGACTGAATCATAGTGGTCTTTTCCAGCCTTGATTCTGGGAGACTTGCAGGTAGGGCAGGAGGGCAGGCAGTTCTCCCAGCACAGAAAGCACAGAACAGGCTGTTGCCAAAAGGAGACTGGTCAGAGAATCGTATCATAGAATCACAGAATGGCCTGGGTTGAAAAGGACCACAATGATCACCTAGTTTCAACACCCCTGCACACAGCAGGGTTGCCAGCCACTAGGCCAGGCTGCCCATAGACAAAGGGAAATGTCTGTAACTTGAAGCAAGGAAGATGAGGTAAGCCCTAGGAAAATGTTGCCTCTGAAATACACTGCTGATGGAGGCTGTGGAGTATCCATCTCTGGAGGCGCTAGGAATGGCTTTAATAAACATGAGTATATCTGGCTGTTTCTCGCAGCAGGAGGCAGATTACAGATCTTTTCTGTCTGTCCTGTGATTTGCTGACACTGGTGATAATCCTGTGCCTGAAATTATTTTCTTATTGCAATACATGCTTCCTTAATTCTGTTAGAAGGGGTCTCTGTGCAGAGCAGGACAGTTTTTGCTGAGGTGCAGAGGCACTTAATCATCGTGTTGTTTCCTCATTTTGAAATGTTCCTTAGGTGAGTAGTTAAGACACAAACAGCTGGCTTTGCATTTCAGCTCAAATACCATCATCCTGAAATACTTGGAGACATCACTCTGTCAGCTGGCACTTGACAAGCCGTCCTAAATTTGCAACACGTAATTGGATTCTTGGGATGAAATCTGAGTCCCCTTTGAAGTCATGGGTTTTTATAGGGCAGAAATTTCATGCTGAGGCCCGAGTGGCGTCCACTTGTACATGACAGGCTTTGCTGTCCCATGCAGACTGCTGTGTGTGGGATGGGTGCGTTGGGAGGTATGAGAGTGTGTCACCTTGCGTGGCCAGCATCTGTGTGCAGAGGGGCCTTTGGAATGCCTGTGTGGGGGTGAGGGAGGCTTCACAACAGGTGTTATATGGGGGGAATCAATTACTCTTACTTTTTTTTCCCCAGTTAATGTCAACAAAATGAATTTACACCATCTGGCATAAAAGAGAGGAGAGGCAGTCAGTGAAAAAGCAGAACCCGTTTTGGGTTTTAAAATTTCGTTTGCTAAGACTTCAGGCATTCTGTATTCTCTTCAGTGTAATTTTTTTTGTCCTTTTTGCATTTTTGGGAAGGGATTCTCCCCCAGTCTATTTTTTTTTTTTTTAATTTCCAATAACCTATAGTTAGCATTTAATAGATAGGCATAACTGTAAGTAAAATGTTTTGCTAACTACTGGTTAATGTCCTCTGATGAAACTCATGCAGAGATGTCTCCACTTGTTGTGAGCTAAAATAGCTCCACTGAAAGTACTCTGGCTTTGTTAATAGCAGTACTAATTCAGAGCAAGTTCTCTGTTCACAGTGTGGCTACTTTAGATTTAGAGGAGATAATTGGAAGTTCATCCTGAAACAGATCGTACTGACGTAAAAGCTCAGTGTTAATCTCTGAGCTGGGAGGTAAAATTTCACGTGTTCCTAATGTATGATTGCACTGCCACATCCAAATTTCTTTGCAGGCTTTTCTCAGCTGTGCAGTGATGCACCGAGTGTAAGAATGGTACACGTTTACTTGAGGATAGAACCAGCCTGTAAAGAAGCACAACGCCCGGGCTTTAGGACCACCAATAGATCAGTTGTTAATAACCTCACTGTGTAATTAAATCAGAATGATTTGAAACTGCCATTAGGGGGAAGAAGACAGAGGAAAACTGTTTCATCCTCACAACATCGTGTTTTCATTGACCTACTTACAGCAGGGAAGGAAACGTGTCCCTTTCCATTATAGCAGAATAGGTTTGTTCAGCAATTTTATAATGCAGTGGCACAGGAGCAGACCGGCTTTTCTAACCACGCCAGGAGGGTTTGGCAGCATGAGTAACATTATTTCACACATTTTGTGCTAAGAAGTGTAAGTTCCTGTCCAAGCTATATTATTATTAACCCAAGCAATTCAGCAGAAAGTGCTTTGATTGAGAAAAAAAAAAAAGACTTGCATTCAGAAGTGAGAAGAAAAAGGATGTGCCTGGAAGTGTGCAAAGAAGCCTTTTACTGGCAACCACATTTCCATCATCTTCCTTTTCTCAGATGCAGAGTCCCTGCCCTCCCTGAGGCCCTTCCATCTCCTTCCACTTGCTTCTGGGCAGCCCTGCAGCAGCGAGCTGAGCAAGGGGCATTGGGCCTGCCTTCCTTCCATGTTTGCCCTGCAGCAGGTGTAACAGCACACAAGGCAAATCCCAAATCTCTTGGTCCTTCATAATGTGCCATGAGGCAGTGGTGGCCGCTTGCAGGGCTGGGGATGTTGTAGAGAGCGAGGGGAAGGTTGGCTCAGGCCTGGTGGCTCAGGGCTGTGCTGGCTGCAGCACTCAGTGTGTGATACTGCTGTTGGTTGTTTTATGCCTGGGACAGTAAACCATCTCATTTTGCAAATAAACACCTGCAGCTAGCCCTTCTCGGGCCAGCCAGGTCACATCCCTCCACAAGGTGTTTTTGCTAACTTGGTACTGTCAGAAGCATTAGTCACTGTGGTAGTGGCTTCGTAAGTCACAGTAGGAGCCAGCTGGTAATTAACAAATTAAAGATATCGTAGATATTTTCCTCAAATATTTCATATGTAGCAAAAACAATTAGAAGCCGAGCACTTCAGCTGTTTGAAGCAGTTACATACGTGAAAAACATCTTGCCGTGTCAGGAAATAATTCATTCACAGAGACCAGTGAGGCCTAATTTTGCTGCCATCTCAGGATTCATAAAAGCACACACAAGAGCTGTGAAACAGGGAGAGAACAAATCCTGCCCCTTTTTAACCGTTTAATTCTGTCCTGTTTAACATACTTCTCCAAATGGCTGTCAGCTGCATCTTTAGGAGCGGCATCACTCCATGGGGTTCAGCTGCTCCCTTCTGCACTTAACTTACTTTCATTTTAGAAATGTTCTGAAGCAGGAGATCATGTATGTGCTCAGGAGTGAATCATCTCTTAGATGAAACCAGCTTGCAATCACAAGGAGAAGAAAACAAAGGCAGTACAAATTGTGTTAAACCTCTAACCAGGGCAAGGCTCTGCAGTGAATGCAGATGATGATGGTTTTCGTTGTGTAGGTTAGGGAAAGTACTCTGGAATGCACAAGCTTGCTTTAACTCACTTGGGGTTTCTTTATTTTATCACCAGATGGTGACCAGTGGTTTCAAATTAAGATGCTCTCAATTACCTGTGCTTGATGGGTGAGTGATAGCATGCCGTGGTATGTCTGCCTTCCGTGCTGCTTCAGCACAGCACTCCTCCGTCATTCCACAGCCTGGCTCAGGGCTGGGCTCTGAGTATGCCAGGCCTTTGACTCTGCTTTTTCTCTAGGACAGGATCTCATCTGAGCACTTTGAGGCAGAAGAAGGAAGGAACAGGATGAGCGATCGGAGCGGCGTCATTTCTGCGGGTAGGGTGCAGTTAATGCCATTGTGGGAGCTATTGATACCAGCAGCAGCAGCTTGGAGAAATATGATCTGCGTTTGAAAACTTTCTTCTTGGAGAGGGGAAAAAAAACCTGTTGAGAATGTGTATCTTTTGATAAAAAGCAAGGGCAAGTCTTTGTCAGACACTGACAGAGGTTTTATTCGAGGTTGGGCTTGTCGTAGAGATGTGAAAGGCGGTATGATGCAATGAAGGACAGACGGGGTTGCCCCATAATACCTTTGCTCTTTGCTTCATTTATTCAGCTCCATATTGTTTGATGGATGAGCACTGGGGATTTCAAAGAATGTGTTTCTGAAGCTTATGAAAGAAACAAAAACCCTTGTGCAATTTCTGTTCAAGCTTTTAGCTTCTTAAGGTCACACTCAGACATTTGGTGTCCTTAAACCTTTCATTACTACACAGAGGAGAGAGGTAGAAAGAGCTCTGAAGTCATTCACACTAAGTTGTTAACGGTGCAGACCTGCTCTGTGCACTGAGTTCTCTGTGAGTTCTCTGTTGTTGTGGGTGGCTTCTACTTCAGGGTTTTCTGGTCATGCTTTGTACTGGCTGTTGTCTCACCAGAAGTTTCACTGTTTTTGCTGTGTAACAAGTAGAGTAGGAACAGTAACAGTAACAGTAGAGTAGGAAGGCCCAGGCAGCTCACCATACTAGGGATGGTGAGCCCAGAGATCTGAGGGGGGCAGGCAGAAACACAGCGATGTGTTGTGCCTTACCTGCCATCCCACAGCCTTGCTGTGAGCAGCACCACAGGTACTTCTTGCAGTGCTGCCAGCAGTGCCAGTCCTTTAGCTTTGCAGACCTGTTGAACGCACTGTGTTTTCCCTTCTTTCTGAGTTTCTGGACTTCTGTCCATAGCAGCCCAAGGTCAGGGCATGGGGCTGGTTACCACCTGGTTTTGTTTCTTTTCTCCCATTGCATTGCAGATTGGTATACCTGCAAAGAGGATATACAGAATTCTCATGACATTTTAAGCCACAAGATTTCTCTTTTCTCTGTTTTAGCAAAATAAGATCCTTGTAGCTCAAGATTAAAGTAGCATTGTGATATTTGGATGTTGCCTCCAAAGCACGGTATTTCAATACACTCATTCAAAAATAAACTTTCCATAGGTAAAATATGGTTTTTTACTTGCATTTCTTGAACAACTGTCCTTTTTATTCTGGCTGCTTAATGTTCTGAGAAATACCTTTTCTTCTTGTTCTTTGCTCATTGCTCCGGTCGTTTGAGTCAGTCTTAGGCTGTTCTCTTCCATTTTTATTTTTATCTGATACCTGGAGAGCAGAGAGCTGGAGTGTGAGTTGTGTGAGGGGTCCGTATGGCTGAGTAATTCCACAAAGGCTGCTGCTCATTTGTCAGTCACTGCACTTATGACTTACTTTCGCTAAGATAAATGCCAGAGCCCTGCCACCAAACAGTTTGGTTCAAAATGCAGATGGCTGAGCTGGCAACCTGCTTGTTTTGTAGCTTTTAGAGCTGTCGCTGTGACCTGGAATCCCCACCAGGCTGCAGGGCACCAAGAGCAGCAGTTCTGCTGGAAGTTGATTGGAGCTCTGCTGACCTCATGCCCACAGAGTGCTTCCTTTTATTTCAAACAGCCATGCAAAATATCCTTCCCAGCCACTGCCTCAGTGTCCTCCCTCCCCCAAGCAGCAGGTGGCTGGACCCTGATGTGCCGCATCTGGCACATTTTGCAGTTGTTTTCTGCTTCTTGATTATTCAGGGATATGGACTGGATGTTGTTTCAGCTGCTCTGACTGCTCCTTTGCTCTCTGAAATAAAAGTCTGCCTGCTTTAGGTATTAGGTTTGCTGAGGTTGGTTCTACTGCTGAGCTTAGTGTATTCATAAGATCCCAAACACTATATGTACAAATCCATGCTGACTTTTTGTAGCAAGTATCTCACTGTGTGTGGGAACCTGGGCATGTATACATGTACAGTTTTGAAGCAGTAATCATGGTGATACGTGCAAACTTCTCTACTCAGCCTTTTCATTTGGATGTAGATTTACATGATCAATTGCTAGTACGAAAAATCCAGTTCATCCTGTTCAGAATACATATGTTTATTCAGACCATTGTTAAAGCTCATGCTATTATTCATGCATGATTTTTGCTTCCATGTAAGTTTTATTTTACTTTGATCTTCTGTAGTGCCCAGCATGCTTTTAGAAACCACTTCCCCACAAACTGTTATTTCACTGTAATTATAAGAGAACATGCATATAAATCACAGATGAGAATATTACCCAACTGGATGTTCCTAGAAACAGGAGAGTACTTACGTGCAATACAATACATTAATCATGTATAAGGATTCAGTTATTAACTGAATTCTTTTAATACAGTACATTCAGTACCAAGATTATGTGAAAAACCTTCTCAGGGAAAAGAAGGTTTTTGTTATGGGCTTTTGAAATGTTTTCTGGTTTTTTGTTTTGTTTTGTTTTTTTTTTTGCTTTACTTTTCTTAACTTTCCATCAGCACTCTCTTGTTACAGATTTGAAAATGAAAAGCTCCAGGTTAAGTTACCCCTTGAGTGTATTGATGGGTGTGTATGTATGTATATACATATGTATGTGCCTGTACACATATGGGATAGTGTGTTTTGGACCTGTTTCTACAAGCTTTTTTCTTTATGACAATCTCACGGTGCATTTAGTACTGCTTTGTTTCAACAGGACTCCTTGTGTCCCTGCTGGACACATTCACAGTGCAGACCTGTGGTCGTTGGTAGGGCGTTTCTCAAATGAACTCAGCTCTGGTAAATCAAGGGAGCTATCATTTCTTAAGAGGGTGTTATCCCTTGGGTTGGCTTCAGGCTTACATATTTCTAATTGTTACTGATAAAACAGAGGAAGGAATGTGGAAAGCTTCAAGCAACCTTGCTTTGCATTGCCTGTATGAAGGCAGTTCCATGTGTGGTCCCTTCCCCAGGCTGGCAGGACGTGCTCTAATGCCAACACCAAGCTGAGGAGCTCTATTAGCACCACATGGAGCCCCAGCAGCTGCTGGAGCTGACAGCAAATTGGAGCTGCCTCCAGGAAGCAACTTAGAAAGCAGAGAAACTCAGTCTGTCCGTGTTGCCCATGAATATCTCATTCCATGCATGGCACTTATGCCCAGTGCAGGCAGTGGGACAAGAGAACGTGGCAGCACTTTTTGAAGTTTGAAACTAGCAGGGTCTAGTCTGACTCTGCCTTTTGGAGTAAGGTTATTACTATCTTTAAAAGACCTCTCACTGCTGGGCAGTGGTGCAGAGCACTCTTCGGTTTCCCTGGTTATTTTATAGTGTCTTTGCTCTGCATTGGTAGAATGTAAGTTACAGTCTGGGTCACTTTGAGTCACTTTCTTGTATCGATTTAGGAAAAAATCAGAAAAGTGGTTTTTGGATGAATAGCCATGCCTGATTATTTAGCTTTTAAATGAAGAATGGGATTTTCCCGAAACAGGAGGAAGTGGCAAAAGCAGCAGGAGATGACACATCTACCACTTGTAAATTATCTTCTATCTGAAGTGCCAAAGTTTGAGCAAAAGACATCGCAGTTCTCTTTGGAAGAAAAGTCTGTTTCGTGAGTAGCTGGTTCTCACCTAAATCCTTTCCTACTGGAAAACACATCAGTTGTGATGCCTGCAGCAGTATATAGAGCAGAAGATATATTTAAATCTGAGTTCCACTACTGAGATTTGCATAGTGAACTCTACAGATATATCTGTAGAGAACCTTCTGCTTCTCCCCTGTCTATGAGCCCTCCATAGGGCAAAGTGCCGCACTTGAGTGCCCCTCACAGCCTCTATGATTGATGGGAGATGAGAGAAGAAGTGTGTTTTCTCACCCAGCAGACAGCACTCCTGTCTGAGGAGTTAAGGAAAGAAACCCACACCTTCCTGATGCCCTGGTGTCTGCTGTCCGGATGGGTTTTTGGGAAAGGATACCCATTCATTCATAACTTCATTCATAAAATAACCCCATTTCACTCTCTGGAAATAGAGCAGTAGTGGAGGCTGCATTGCACACATAAAGCTTTCAGAGCTTTGAATGTAGTGTTACCATTTGTGTCTGACTTTTGGAGATGCTGTGCAGCTGTATCTCTGAATTAAATCCACAGAAACCTTACATGGGAATCATGCTGTTATGGTGTAGCTATCTTTACCAAGTCTGTCCTGTCTGGCTTTTGGTGGCTGCTTTCTGGCACTTGCAGCTCACCTGGTTACTTATCTTCTGTCTCATCTTTTGTCATTTATTTAATAAATATTGTACTTGTAATTTGCCCTCGTTTTATGCTATCATGCAATTTGTGATCTGGAACAGCAGTGGTTCTCCTGACCCTGCAGAAAATTGATGAGTAGAATTGCTTGGAAAGTGATCTCTACTGGGATTCTTATTACAAGTAAAATTCAGCTGGTTATTACAGAATTGATAGTTCTGTTCATTGACCTGTCCAGGCAGAATGGAAGGTCAACTAAACATTGAACCCTTAGTAAAGAAGTGTCACTTCATATTAGTATGAAGTCCTAAGATAGGATCACGCATTATTAAAAGCAAGAGGTGTAAAAGCAGCATCCTGTATGAGAGTGATTATTGAGCAAGACATTTGCATTGTCATCTTCCAAATGACAGCTCTGTCTGTCTATGATCCATCATGAAGTAAAGAATTTCTGGTGTTCCAGTTCTTTTGACATGATGTGAGAAATTTATGGCTTAACTTTTTGACCCCCACAACTTAAATGCATTATTGCAGTTCTACATCTAGTCTTTCCATGCCTGAACTGAAGATACAGTATTACTTATGAACAGTATTACTTAAAAATTCTAGGGGGTTCCTGGTAGTCAACAGGCAGACCTGAGGCATGGTACTGACCATGCTGTCACTGCATGGCTCTGGAAATGGTCCTTTGCTGCTCTGAATTTTTTCCAGATTTGGTGTTGAGGGACATGGTTTAATGAGAACTATTGGTGTTAGGT